GTAAAACTTTATATAAATATGACCAACACACTATTTGAAATATTATTTCATTTTTTCAATAAATTAAATAATCAGATATCAAACCATATATTTATTTTATTAATAGTTAATATAAAAAAAATTAATATTTTATCATAATATATAAAATATTAACATTCCGTATCATTCTTAATGAAACAGTCTATAATAATTAATTATTAATTAACTCTTATATTTTCCCTTATATTCTTCAATTAATGCAATGTATTGAGCCTGAGCAGCTTCTTGAGAAATACCTAAAATTGATATAAGATATTGAGAAATTTTGATCATTTAATTATCTTACTCTTAAAAATCGTTAATAATAATACCCTTGTTTGCTGTCCAAGCCTTCCATTTAGCACTTTCTGTGGGTCTGAAAATACCCGGTTCAGCTAGAATTAAAAAGATGGATTAATATATATTTAATGCAACACTCAATTTAATAACATAAACTTACCGGTATTATTGTCACCATTTTTGCTTTGTTTAAACAAGCCATACGCTTTCAATTTGTCCTCATCAGTAACCGAACCATTTTGTACTAATGTTGCAAATTCTTCAGCAGCCCGGTCAAATTCCTACAGGATTTATAATAATAATAATAATAATAATAATAATAAAATTAAAGTAATAGTAAAGACAATAACAGTATCTATATATCAACAACTTTGGATATAAAGAACTTATTTTATAACAAACTACATAACGAACTTATTCTTAAATTGATTTCAAGTTCAGTATATAAAGCATAAGTAATGAAAATAATGAACTGGTGAGAATTTTTTTTATTATATGAACCGTCAGTTCGTTATATAGAAAGTTTATATTATTTCTTTTAAATCATAAAAAGAAAAACATACTGTAGCCATTTTAGTTGAATATATATGTCAAATTTTTAAACGTTAAAGGCAAAAAAATTTAAAGAACAAAATTTGTCGAATCGTAATTTATATGTATTACAACTATGTGCAGAATCTTATGACCAAAAAAAAATCAAGATATTACGTTATTATAATGTCACAAATCTATCTTACAACGATTATCATTAATACAGTGAACATCGTTGTCTTTTTAAAATGTGTGATTACTACCATTTATATTTCACCGTTCCGTTATCCATAATATAACACTTTATTATTATTATATATATATACTATGAATGCAGATTGAAAAATCTGCATCGGTGAATGAAAAATACGGTAAATCTTCCTATGTTTTCTATCTGTGAACCTTAATTAATGAATGTAAAAAATATGGGATACGTAGTCCCTTTTATACATCATACGTAACAATAAATACTGAAATATATATTAATCATTTTTTTATTAGATGACGTTTCACCAAACGTCATTTACCCATGTCAAATATGTTACAATTGGTATCGGCAAAATTATGTACGTGAGTAGTAAATTTGAAATTAATGTTGCAGTTGAAAAAAAAAAAAACATTACAGAATATATATTTTTAAAATTTAA